CAAACAACAAAAAAATCAAAACAAAAACAACTTCAACCACAAACAAACACACAAAAAGAAAAAGAAAAAAAAAGAACTTCTTCCATGAGAGGATGAAATTAGAGAAAAGAAAAGGATAAGTATTTAAAATCTTAGGGAATTATTTCAAAAGGAAATTACTTAGCATCTTATTGGGTGCATCCATGTTTTAGGATACCGGATCCATTTTGTTTCAAATTCTTAACAAAGAACTAAGAACCAAATAATGGGAGTCAACAAAAAGCTATGAGACCCATTTTCCCTTAACCCATTGTTAACATGAAACCCATTTAACCTTGATTGTAATAATACTTGGGGTTGTTTGGAATTTGTTTATTTAATGTACGTCCTTATTTTTTATAAAAAGTTATATAAAAATAATAAAAAAATCATATGACTCAAATAAGAAATACTTATTTAATGCATTCTCAAATAATCCCATAGATATTATTTAACAAGAACATAGCACTATAAATTTTAAATGATTTTTTGACTTGAGTGTTTTTAAAATTTTACATTTAATTTTTTTTTGATGGCTTGATGAATGAGAAATATTAGTTTAGGATTTATTGGATATGGAAGCTATTTTTGGAAAAATAAAAATGTGACACCATTCACATCAATAAAATATACGCTTTATATAATTGAATGGATGTTAGGGTTAAGTACATTGTTAATCTATAAAATATGAGTTTTGTATCATTTTGATTTTTGATATTTTAATTATGTTAAATTTGTATTTAAATTGTTTTAACATGGTTTTTGTCCAATTTTTATTTTTTTGTTCAAAATTTAGGGAGAGTTTGGGAGTTGGAATTTTTAGTGATTTTTTTTTTATTTTTTAAGAAAAAAATGTTAAAAAAAAAATAGAGAGAAGAGATTGATTTTTTTGGGACTATTTTAGCCACACTCCAAACACCACCTTAGACAAAGCAATGCTTATAAGTATCATTTAAACACAAATTAAATAATTTAAAAATAAAATTAACACAATAAAAATATAAAGAATCAAAATGAAAAGAAGGCAAAATTTGAGGCTAACAATGTGTTTACTTGTACATATTGTAATTCAAGTGGATGAGAAGTATCTATTATTCATTTGGTAAAAAATTTGATACATATAACATTTTTCATTCTGAAAATAGGCGTTAGTACCGAAATGATGATGATGACAATGGCCTCCCTTTCTTTTTCTCTTGATAATGACGACACCATTACAATGGCTCATAATTTGGAGTTCGGATTGTCTGTCGCAATTGCTTGTGGCACTTCCTGCGACGGTCCAAAACAACGTCGTTTTGGACTCCTTTTTTATTATTTTTTTCCCTACTTTGCTTTTCAACTTCTTTTTCATTTCATCATTTTTACTTCATCCCGGTGACCGACTCAGATTTTTGGTTTTGCTTAAAGTTCTGTGGTGTTTCTCTCTCGCTCTCTCTTCAAGCTAGGGCTTTGATTTTGCAAAGAAAGTTACCTCATTTTCTGATGAGTAGGTTGGGACCATATAATTAAATGTGGTGTTATCATTTATAAGAAGCCTACCATTTAAGTGATTCAATTTAGTTAATAGGCTTAAGGGTATATGTGTTATGGACCTAATGTGTAGATACTAGTTGTATAATTTCTATTTCTATGAGGGGCAGAAATAGAAATTAAAACATATTGGTTAAAGTTGGTTTTCATTACCTTTCAGTTTTAAACCAATAATGGTTAATTTATTGGTTTTCATTACCTTTCAGTTATGAAAACCAATTACAACCTTTAAAAGGTTATGGTCCCTATTCCTTCCCAAGAGTGAAAAGATAAGAACACTGTTTTGTTTTTCTAAATCCTCTCAAGGAGAAACATAAGGCACCAAAGGGGAAAGGATTAGAAGGCAATAACATAGTCAATATCAAAGGTTTTATTGACAATCAGACGCTTCCGTTTAACTGTTCATCGATGGATTCAGGTATGTCGTTTTAGTCTTGTTTTCTTGATGATATACATGGTAGATGATCCGAAACATGAAGTTTCATGTTCTGAAATTTATGTTAACATCTTGTAGATGGCAAAAATCAGGGCAGTGCTTGACCAAGAAACTTGGGTTGAAGTACACGTGGCTGAGGAATTTCAGGCCATCGTCAGTTTTGTGTTTTGTTCTGAGCCTTTAACTACTGGGCATACAGATGACGCTCAAGGTAATGTTGCAACAGGCTACAGTGTAGTGGTCTCAAGCTGTGATGCTTCACTCATGGCAGATGCTGAACTAACAAACTCTGTTTAGCATATTTAGCAATTTGATACTGTTAAAAGTATATGCAGATAATGATGCAGTCCTAGTTTACGTGGGCTGTCAAGTACCTGTGTCGGACACTGAGCCTGCTTGCTAATGTTTTTGTTTTTTAAAATATTGAAAATTGGAAACAAAAAACGTTAGTTAAAAAATTAAAAAACAATTGGGGATTTATTTCATTTCCAAAAAAAAAAAAAAGATTCACAGTAAAATTTTGAGGAAACCAGAAAAAGGTGTTTTCAAAATAGGCTCTCAATTTGTCCTCCCTCTCCAACCACCTTCACTTACCATGTTTTTGTAAAAAATAAAAAATAATGAAATTGGCAATGCTACCAAATGGCAACTGTTTTTACTTTCAAAAAATGGCAACAATTTTCAAAATTTGAGGAATAAGAAAAAGGTGTTTTCTCATTTTTGGAAAATAAGTTTTCATTTCCTCCTCCCTCCCTCCACCTCTGCAGCCATCCCACCCTCCAGCCACAGAGTTTGGCCACCACCTCCCCTCCGGCTACCCCTACCTTCTGGACAAAACCTCTGGCCACCCCCACCCTCGGGCCACCTCCTCCAACTCGTCAAAACATTTTAAATATATATATATATATATGTTTTGTACCAAACATGTTATTTGTATCTGTTTGATTTTAAATAATAAAAGCAAAAAGCAAAACATATTTTTTAAATAGAAAATAGGAAATTGGTAATGTTACCAAATGCTAGTTTGATATGGAAGCTAATATGAGATAGAATAATGCTTGGGACTCCCTTTTGGGGGTCACCCCCTCACCCCCCTTTGCCACGTGGTGAGTGGTGATTGGAAGAGCAGGAAAAAAAAGAAAAAAAAAAGAAAAAGAAAACATAACTAATGAGAGGGGGTGGGGGGAAAAGGGGGGATGAATCATTGTTGTATGAGATATGTGTCCGGCATGTTGAGTTGGATATACACCCTACAAAGCTCTGCATAAGTCTTCTATTATATGACATACAAAGCACTATGTTAACTTGTAAAAATTGTTTACCTTAAATATTAATAAAAGATGTATTTATAAAATATGAAATTTGGCTGAGTTCCAATGTCCCTTGGGCAGGAGATTAGATGAATCTGACACTTAGGCAAATACCCTCACTCTACAACTGTACTTGAGTCCATGAAGAGTAGTGCTGCACATGTAAAATCTTCACCTTTGGTATGACCAATTGATAATAAAAATCTGATGCTATAACTTCTCCAGCTCAGAGCAACAATGCTAACAATAATGAACGCGGGAATGCTTCCACTAAAACACTCAAGTTCGCGGGTGTTCATTATCACATGGTAAACCGGTTAGTTTTCTATTTTCATTACTTTATTGTTCTTTTGGGTTTCATTTCAGTCATTATTTTTCCTATCTGTCCTCTCCACCTTCCCTTGCTCTCCTCCGGAAACCTTGATTTCCAGAGCAGTTGGTACTTCTAGGTCATAAAATTTGATTTTTATGGGTCTTTTTTTTTCTCTTCCTAATTGATTGTTCCCATGTTTAGAGCTTTTTGGTTTTCATTAGAGTTTTTTATGATCTAATAATTGGCTTGTCTCTTACGGTGTTTACGGACTTATCTCTTGGAAATTCTCACCCAATATTTGTCTCCATGACTCCAGCTTCACTTGGAAATAAGGGGAGTTAGTTGAACTGAACTAATTTTGGAGCTGTTTCTTGCTTTTTTCAGTGGCTTAATTTTGCTGAAGATGTTGTCAGAGTACATTGATATTAATAATAATTTGTCAGCACTGTCTTCAGAAGTTGTGCATCGTGTTGTTGAAATCTTGAAGTTTTTCAATACAAGGACTTGTCAGCTTGTTCTTGGTACCGGTGCCTTGCAGGTATTTGTTTTCAGACTGTAATTGATGGATACATGCTTCTCAAGTTGTTAGTTGATGCTAAAGCACTGAGATACTCGTCAATCCTAGAGAAAGAACACCTGTTAACTGCTTTATGAGCATTCAAATCAAACATCCTCTTGTACATAATGTTACTCTACTCCATACTTCTATTTGTTTTTGTTCTGTTTTGTGTTGGATTTTTTTAATTTTGTTTTTTATTTTAAAGCGAACATTATGAATGAGTATATGTTAGTCATGTGTTGTCTGCATGAAACTACAGGTGGCCGGTTTGAAATCCGTTACTTCTAAGCACTTGGCATTGGCAAGTCAGGTTATCAGTTTTATGGATGGTATTATTCCTGGTAGGTGACGAGACATAAAAATTCTGCCATTGCCATAGAGTTGTTTCGTGTAGTCTTATGTGAATGTTTGTAAATATGCTATCACAATATACTCACTTAACTACTTTTAAGTTTTAACATTAAATACGGTTCATCCATGCGACAAGTTACAGATTTTATTTTCTCATTTCGAACTTTTTCTGAATTCTAGTCTTGTAATTGTTAGTTATTTTCAAGTGTCTTGCTATAATCCTATCAAATTTGGACAGTCATTATGGTTGAACCAAGTTTATGGTTGGTTTTGCTTGTCATTGATGGATTTGAAATTGGATATTCTTTCTTAGAGTAGTTCTTAATGATTTCTATTTATGGTTGATATTTTCATCTTTCTGGTACTCGCATATACTTGGCCTCAATCATTTCTTTCTTTATATTTATTTTATTTGAAAATTTTTAGAATGCATCTCAATATTAGAACAATTTAACATCATTCAAGATGCCATGCAATTTTGGGGAAAAAAAAAAAAAAAAGAGGCCATGCAATTCCCTTCCATGTGAACAATTGTCATGTAACGAGTATTATCGCCTATCATTTGTTAGCTTGGATACTACTACTTACCTTTTTCACCCTGGTGGCCCTTCGAACAACCATCCACACCTTGATTGCCTCTTGAATAAACATCAACATTCTTGGATTGGTTTCCCCTAGAACAAACTTCATGTGCAATAATGGAAATGCTGTGACTCAGAATACGATGAATCCTGAAATCATTCAGTCAGTGATAGTTTTGTACCTAGAAAGCAAAATAATAATGACCTCATTTGAGGTGCTCTCTCTCTCTCTCTCTCCCTCCCTCCCTCATTTGCTTGCGGATGGCATCATGAATCCTTTATTTCATTTTTTTGTTGTCACTCTGCATACTCTCCTATCTTCTTTTTTTTTTAGGTACATCGGAAAAAACAAAACAAAACAAGGCCTAAGCCCTTTCCCAAGGAGTTCTAACCATGTCTGCAACAAGTAGACTCCTTAACTCAGCTGGTGGCTTATTTACCACCAGAATGTCCTCAGGTTGCTCAACTCCAAACTTGGCAAGAGCATTAGCACATAGGTTACCCTCCTGAACACATGTTGCACCGTGCACTCACAACCTTGCATGATGATCTTGGCATCTTCAAGAAGTCCTTTGAAAGGAGAATTTGCCTCAATCTCCTCCTCCAAGAGCTTCACAGCTTGCATGGCATCTGTTTCAATGATAACTTTGTTCCATCCTATTTGTAGAAGCACTGCAAGACCTTTATAAATGGCCCATAATTCAGCTTCAAGGCTGGTCCCAGTATGTAATCTGCTGTAATACCCACACAACCATGTTCCAGCTTCATCTCTAAATAAGCCTCCAAAACCTCCATTTTCCACCTAGCTGCCTGCAACCATCTGTGTTATAGCACTTACAATATTCATAATAAAAGCCTGGTTAATTTCCTTGGTATAAGACAAGATATACTTTACACTTTCTTGGCTGGTAGTTGACAGATGGTCAAAAAATTTTGAATTTCTATTTTTTCAAATTTTCCAAAGGCAAACAGCAAACACAGAATACTAGCAGAAAAGATCACTAAAATGTTTTTATTTCTAGAATTAAAGATAATCCAATCCAGCCAAGGGGTTTGAAGGATATCCAGATACCATTTCCTACCAAACATTACTAGCCAAATAGCTTTGGTTTTGTAGCAGGTTCTAAAAAGGTGATTCAAATCTTCTACTTCACTGCAACTAGGGCATCTGGGATCAGAAGTGAGTCCTCTTTCTTTTCTCATTTGGTTAGTTAAGAGCTTGCCATGAAGAACAGTCAGCATAAAACTTTTCAGTTTCTGTGGAAATCTCAACTTCCAAAGCCAATTCCTGTCCACCTCTAGTCCCATACTACCAAACAAAATATTATAAGCACTAGAGGTAGAAAAATTGCCATCAATAGATCCCCTCAAAGTAGGTAAATCAATAGAAGAGAGCTGTGGTGAAGGTAAATTAAGAACAAGAGTTGAAACACATAAAGGGATGTCAAGTAGCTTCATAGCATCCCAGTGACCCTGATCACTGAGAAAGTCATTGACTTTAACACCAGCAGTCTCATTGACATAAGATTGAAGTGTGTTGGGAACAGTCTCCACAAGAGGCTTGTTGCCACACCACCAATCTTTCTAGAAATCCACAGTTCTACCACAACCAATCTCCCATTTCACACCTTTCCTCAAGGTGTTTTTGGTTTTCAAAATGCCCCTCCAAACATGAGAGGTAGATCTATTTCTAGACCCTTCATACAAATTAGATGACTTAAGATATTTACTCTTAAGAACATCTTTCCATAAGGCTTCCTTCTCACAAATCAATTTCTAACTCAACTTAACAAGAAGAGCTAGATTTTGATTCCTGGCTTTCGTGATCCCAAGACCACCAAGTTTCTTACGTTTACAAACATCATCCCACTTGACTAGGTGAATTCTTTTCTTTCCCAGGGTGTCACCCCACAGAAAATTCCTGGTCAGTCTATCAATCTCATTGCACACTTTGATAGGCAATTCCATCGTCTGCATTGTATATGCAAGTAATGCAATGCTAACGGACTGGATAAGAGTTGTTCTTCTAGCTAAGGAAAGAACACTAGTTTTCGCCAGCTAATTTCCTTTGTATCTTTTCTAGGATGGTGTTAAAACGTCCTCTATTCACTCTACCATGAATAAGCGGAACTCCAAGGTATTTCCCTAACTCAGAAGTCAAGGGAATACCACAATTAGAGCTCAATTCTCTAGCCTTTCTCCTATCAATATTAGGGGAAACAAACAATTTGGACTTGTGGGCATTAATCTTCAAACCAGAAATCTTACAAAATTCATTCATAACAGTCATAATTGTATCATAGGTAGACATATCAACCTTAGTAAAAAGCATTAGATCATTAGCAAAGAATAAGTGGGTCAGGCATGGTCCTCCTCCAGCAACATGTATGCCCTTCCACTCCTTATTCTCAGCTTTAGTTCTAATCATATTGGAGAGTCGTTCCAAACACAACACAAATAAGTAAGGAGAAAGGGGATCCCCCTGTCTGAGCGCTCTTCCAGGCTTAAACTCTTGAAGAGGTTCACCATTCCAAATGACAGCAGTTGTCACAGAAGTCACACAGCACATCACAAGCTCAATAAGGCTAGTTTTAAAATTCAGCTCTCTTAAAGTTTGCTCCATGAACTCCCAAGAGATGTTATCATAAGTTTTCTCAAGATCAATTTTAAAAATCATGCTCCCAACTTTCCCTTTCTTATGGTTTAAGGTATGGATAGTTTCTTGGGTTATAATTATGTTGTCACTAGTGGAATGACTAGGAACAAAACTATACTGGTTAGGACTGACAATTTTGCCCAAGAAAGGTCTGATTCTCCCAACAATAATTTTGGAAATAATCTTGTAAGGCACATTACAAAGACTTATGGGTCTAAACTGTTTGATAGTTTCAAGATTCTCCAGCTTAGGGATAAGGGCAATAAGGGTTCTATTGATCTGAGGTGGAATGCAGTTATTAGCAAAATAGTGTTTAACAAAATCACAAACAGAAATACAGACAGTTTTCCAATAAATGATAGAAAATAGCTTGAAAGCCATCTCTTCCAGGGGCTTTGAAGCCCTTAATATTTTTCACAGCCTTCCAAATTTCCTCACTGCCAATCTCCTTAGTGAGCTCATCATTCTCCTCTTGAGTGATCAAATGGCGAGTAATATTATTCCAATGATCAAGAGACATCGTTGGAGTACACTCAAACAGATTCAGAAAATAATCCATAACCATGTTTTTCAGGTCATTTACATTATCAATCCACATGCCCCTCTCATTCTTGAGGGTTATAATTTTATATTTCCTCTTTTTGGTCAAGGTAGAGAGATGGAAGAATTGGGTATTTCTGGAACCATAATAATTCCTCTATATATTGCTCAATAAGGTTCATCTCCAAGAGATAGAGGTTATGGAGTAATTATGGATTTGGGATTTTTGGATTCCCTCAATCCTCCTCAATGGCCATCTCTTATTTCTAAAAATGTTCCCAAACATCTCTTTATTCCACACACTAGCATTGAGAGCTAGATTCTCAAGCTTATCAACAAGAGAAGGAGGGGAGTGTTCTCAGTTACTTTCCACCACAAACAAAAATTCCTCATGTGAAATCCAAGCAGCAATAAATTTGAAGGATTTGGGAGAAGGGTTAGAAGGGAACTTACCTTAGGTGAAAATCATCATCGGAGAATGGTCTGAATAAGTCCGGGGTAGATTTTGAACCAATCCTTTAGGGAAAGTGGTTCGCCATTCAGTATTACACAAAGCTCGATCCAATCTCACCATAGTATTGGCCCATCCTTGTCTGTTGTTTGTCCAGGTCAATCTTGGTCCTGTACATCCCAACTTCATCTGATTACAACTATTCATTCTTGTTAATGTACACTAACCTAACCCACTAACCTAACCCACTACATCCACCCCACTAAACCTAACACACTTACCATCTCCACTACCACCCACCACCTCCACTACCATCCACTACCACCACTCACTAACCCAAACCCTCTCCTATATAATGCCACTCTGATTTGTAATACAATATATCAATACAACAATCTTGTAATTCATATCAATAAATCAATAATACATAAATTCTTACATGGTATCAGAGCAAGGTTAAGGATCTTGGTGTTCTTCGCTTTCCGGCGGGCGGCAACCCTGCCTTGACCGCCCGCCGGAGCTCAACCAATTCACACCTCCCTCTCCCTCTCGGCACCTCACTTCCTCAATCAACAGCATGCTCCCAATCCCAATCAATACACTGATTTCACCGACGACCTCTGCGTCCCCAGTGATGTTATAGCTGAGCTAGAATGGCTCTCGGACTTCGTCGACGACTCGTTGTGGTTCTCGAACAACTTCCTCGACGAATCGTTCGCCGGAACTGTAACTCTGAGTCCTGAAACTTCATTTCAAACAAGCCTTGCAATCGCTCACGCTCAAAGTTCTCCAACAATCAGCCAGGACATAAGATGATTCATTTTTCGTCTCCGATACTGCCACCTCAGTGCGCGCATATTATTTGGTGCACCTGCAACAGCTTCCGTCACGGCCTGCCTCGCTGACACTTCAAATGTTGAGTTCTTTCGTGTCGTGTTCCCACACAAGGCCTTGTCACCCGAGTTCTATTGCAGCGTCAAACTTCGTCTCATAAACGTAGGCCACGGATGGAGTTGATATCCACTCACCAGATTGGTTTCTCACCTCAAGTGCAGTTATATCAGCATTCTGATTAACTAACGGCACCAAAACATAACATGAGCAGTGGCACAGATGCAGTTCATCCCAACCCTGCAACGTCCATGATGGACCCATCAACATACAAACACTCTTCTCTCTCTCATCTTTCAACTTTCAAACCCACCATTTTTTTTTTTTTTTTTTTTATTCCACCTCCCTCCCCCCCTTTATTTTTTTTATATTGAGGCATATCTATAAACACACTGACAAACACACACCCTTGTTCTCCACCTCCCTCTTTTTCTAAATTATTCCCTGACAGTGCTTGTTCTCCACCTTCCTGTTTTTTCTAACCATTATTTTTTTATCACCGCCCAATCCTTGATTTCAATTTTTTTTTTATTATTATTATTACTCCGACTTCCTACATTCTCATCAATTTTCTTTTATCTATATATATATATACTTTTCCACCACCATCTCCTTTCTTCTTTCTTTTCTTTTTTTTATATATATTTACTTTATTCCATCTTTTGACACGCCCAAGTCACACAAAGCAAACCCATCATTTTCCTTTTCCATTAGTGGTCGGACCCGCCCCACCACATTTGAATCTCCCATTTTTTTTTTTTTTTTTTTTTTTTTTCCCTAAAAAAAAAAACCACACCTCCCATTTGAGTTTGCAACACACACTTGTTTTATTCATATCAGGGATTCACCCCGCTCACCATTCTACACCAAAAAAAAAAAAAAAAAAAAAAAAAAAAAAAAAAAAAAAAAAAAAAAACAAACAAACAAACAAACAAACAAAACCACAACAAAACAACCACATCCACAGGCGGGATTTTTTCTTATCTACTCTGCCGCTGGTCTCTTCTTCTTGCCTCCGTCCTGCGCGGCCCTTGACGGTGTTGCCTCCGTGCTTCCTAAACCACCAAGCAAGTTGCCTCCTCCCTGCTCCTCCACTACAGCATATGGTGGACCTCCAAATCGGAACATCACAGTGGCCTTCCGCTTCAGCTCCTTATTTTCCGCCTTTAGCACACTTAACTCTGCTCGCGCATCCTTATACATGCGTTGGAGCAGAGCCAGTTGGGCGTTTAACTGACTGAAATGCAGATAGTTTTCCAATAAGTATGATAGAAAACAGCTCGAAAGCCATCTCTACCAGGGGCTTTGAAGCCCTTAATATTTTTCAGAGCCTTCCAGATTTCCTCACTATCAATCTCCTTAGTGAGCTCATCATTCTCCTCTTGAGTGATCAAATGGGGAGTAATATTATTCCCATGATCAGGAGAAATTGTTGGAGTACACTCAAACAAATTCACAAAATAATCCATAATCATGTTTTTTAGGTCATCCACATTATCAATCCACATGCCTCTCTCATCCTTAAGGGTTACAATTTTACATTTCCTCCTTTTGGTCAAGGTAGAGAGATGAAAGAACTTGGTATTTCTGTCCCCCTGGGTAATCCAGTTGGACCTAGATTTCTGAAACCATAATAATTCCTCTTGGTAGAGGACTTTATTACATTGTTCAAAAGGTTCATCTCCAGGAGATAGAGGTTATGGGAGTAATTATGGATTTGAGATTTTTGGATTCCCTCAATCCTCCCCAATAGCCATCTCTTATTTCTAAAAATGTTCCCAAACATCTCTTTATTCCACACACTAGCATTGAGAGCTAGATTCTCAAGCTTATCAACAAGAGAAGGAGGGGAGTGTTCTCAGTTACTTTCCACCACAAACAAAAATTCCTCATGCGAAATCCAAGTAGCAATAAATTTGAAGGATTTGGGAGAAGGGTTAGAGGGGAACTTACGTTAGGTGAAAATCATCATCAGAGAATGGTCTGAATAAGTCCGGGGTAGATTTTGAACCAATCCTTTAGGGAAAGTGGTTCGCCATTCAGTATTACACAAAGCTCGATCGAATCTCACCATAGTATTGGCCCATCCTTGTCTGTTGTTTGTCCAGGTCAATCTTGGTCCTGTACATCCCAACTCCATCTGATTACAACTATTCATTCTAACTATGAACTTCCTACTTCTTCTTTGGTCCTGACTCTGGCTTTGACTCTGAGTCCCAGATAAGCTTCTCTTTTTTGACTGAGTGGCAAAATCATTGAAGTCACCTGCTAAAAGCCACGGCTCATCCATGGTTTGAGAAAGAGTTTCCAGATCTTGTCAAAGTTCATTCCTCTTACTGTTGTTGGGGCTCGCATAGACGGTAGTCAATAATACATAAATTCTTACAATTCTAACTATGAACTTCCTACTTCTTTGGTCCTGACTCTGGCTTTAACTCTGAGTCCCAGATAAGCTTCTCTTTTTTGACTGAGTGGCAAAATCATTGAAGTCACCTGCTAAAAGCCACGGCTCATCCATGGTTTGAGAAAGAGTTTCCAGATCTTGCCAAAGTTCATTCCTCTTACTCTTGTTGGGGCTCGCATAGACGGCAGAAAGAACCTAATCACCGTAGTTTTGTCTAGAAATCCTAGCAGTTATTAACTGGGAGCTAGCCTCAGTGACTCTCACATTCACAGTGCTAGGGTTCCAGATCATCCAGATTCCCCCACTCATTCCAATAGGGTCCACATGGGTAAAAGTAGTGAACCTCATGTGGTTGAAGAACATTCCCATAGAACTAAACTCCACTTTGGTCTCCAGAAGAACTATTAAATCCGGTTTATGAATCCGAACTAGCTCTCTCATATTTCTCTTAAATCTCTTGTTTTTAGCTCCTCTGCAATTCCAAAACAACAAATCCTTACCTACTTGATTATGCTGGGCAAGAGGGGTCTGTTCTGATAAGCTCAGAATGCTTCTTGCTCCGCTATGATTGTCTTCCATAGACAGTGTGGAGGTTACTGAGGCATAGTGCATGTCCTGCCCTATTTCTATCTGTCTCCATGGCTGGATCCTTATGTTTACTTCCTCTATCCACCAATCTGTAGTGACGAGGTGAAACACTTCTCTCCCTGGTGTGAGCATTATCATTACTCTATTCTGAACCAACCTGTGGTGCACCACTGGATAATTCTCACCCTCCTCTTCCTTCATTTTTATCCGGTGGTTTCCTGGATCTGGATCGAGAGCTAACTTCCCTACTTGCGGTGGAAATGGTAGAAGTAGAGTCAGGTGGGTTGGTGGGGGTTATAGGTGATGGGTTATTGGGAAGGATGAAAGCTACTATATTAGACTCGAGGTTGAGTAAAGGTGTAGCAATGTCAGTACTAACCTCAGAGCCATGGCTACGTGTGCTCTCCTCAGTTATTCCTTTCTTGCCTCATTTGGTTTCTTCTCTGTTCGTGATCTTAGCTTTTCCTGATTTACTTTCATCTTTATTTGGTGGACTCTCTCATTTTCCTCTGCTATCATACCGGCCTTTATTTTTTTCCTTGTATCTAAAGCCCTATTCTTGTTGGGCCAGGCTCATTGGTTCCTTATTCTTCCCACCATGGGCCTTATGGACCGTAGAATGATTTTCTTCCTCTTGCAGACTACTAAACCTATTTACTTGTTGTATAGTGTTACCTTTTTGAGGCCTAGGGCCCTTCTTTGATTAGTAACCTTCATCCATGGCCCATATCTAATTTGGCTTGGTTCACCCATTTCAGTATCCTTGGTAAGACCCAGCCCAGTCTGAGCTTCATCTTCTTTACCTTGGTTTCCTTCTCCGGCAACATCATGTCGTTGTTTATTTGCCTCATTCGTTGGGTTTTCAGTGCAAACGTGCTTCACGTGTCCTACCCTGCTACAAGAGAAACAAACAGAATGTAAATGTTCATATTCTATAATATAAGTATTCTTACTAATAGAGAATTGGGAAGCAAGGGGCTTTCGCAGATCTACTTCAATACAGACTCTCGCATATTTTCCTTTAGAGGCCATAGTTGTGTTAATATCAACCTTCAATGGAACGCCTAGGACCTTGGCAATGTGATATAGGACTTTCTCATTATAGTATTCTATGGGTAAATTCGGAAATCGCACCCATAGAGCTGTGGTATCTTTCTCAGCCTTATCGGATTTAAAGTCTTGTTGCCATTTACTAACCGTTACATAGTGATCCATGACTATCCGTGGCCCATCAGTATAGACTCTGGTATAGTCTTCAACCATGTCAAATTTGATGATAAAGAATCCATTCCCAATGTCTAGGGCTTCAAAATCAGCTTGAAGGCCCCAAACACGGGTCATTTTTGCCATAAAGATCTTGTAACCAATTTTTTTCCCCAACAATCTGACAATCAAACATTTTTTCCAAGATTCCCTAATTTTTCGCAAAAGGGCTATTAGGATCTTAACCCTGGAACTCCTTCTACTGCATCATCGGGAGCTTCTTCTTCCTCTACGAGGTCATGTTCGACTTCTTCTTCATCAGATGATATATCCTCCACATCGCAATCAAAAAAAATTTCAATCCCATTCTCATTAAATCTAGATCTGAGGAGTGCTTGCTTGAAAGATTTCGCTTGATCTGATCTGTCTTTGTTAGCATCATTCAGGTCGCCACCATTTAACTTGGTGACTCCTGTTTCAGACATTGAAACATCAGTGGGAGCTGGATATGAGATACCCTTCAGATGTGCTCCCTCTACCGATTGATGGTCTTTCATAGTTTCATCAACTGTCTCTGAGGTACTTTTGATTTTCTTAGTGCTTCGAACAAAATGGTCTTCTTCCTCAATTGAGCATCCATGGGCGAGTTTCACCTCACTAGCAGCCAGTGTTTCTGTAACGGTCATTTTCTAGAGAGAGAAAAACAATTAAATGATCTTTCCCCTCTCTCCTATCTTTTATCCTTTTACTTGATGTAGGCTATATATATGTTGATTAAAAAGTCAAAATATAGTGCACATAGAAACTGTTTTCTACATGTATGATTTGTAATTGCTGAATTTCCTAAATAGTTTGCTGACATTTTGTTTTTGCATGTGGAACTAAGAAATCAAGAGGATTCTCTGCATGAAAGTACCTGAGACACGAAAGGCATTGCTACTGTCTGCGATTGATCGAGTAGCTCTGGTAAAATAACTAGCTACTTTTTTATTTTATTTTGTTTTATATTTTTATTCTTTTTATATTCGAGTGACATCTATTTCTACGTAACTTAAATATTATATTATTTGGAGCTGCACATGAACCGAGAAATTGATAAAAAGTTCATATGTAACTTGCTTATGAGCTTGTTCAGGTTCTTTCCCTTTCAAATGATCTAAGCTTGAGCATCATTTTTATACCCAGTATTTATTGGAGACCCAGCTTGGCTCAGCATGTGGTGGAGTGTGTCCTTTGGAGAAGATCGGAGACGTGTGAAGTCTATGGAGGTTAATAGAAGAATTAGTTCGAAATCTCCAGCTGCTTTTTATGGAATTGGTTGATTATTTTCCATTTCAATAAAGGACATTTTTTTGGAAGGAATACACTATATATTGCTTTAGCCACAATAAAAGTAATGACAAGAAGAACGATGCAACTACAAGTTGAATGTCTTATGCTTCTACTGGCATTAGCATTGGGCTTTAATTTTTTTTTTTTTTTGGAGCCATTTATAATATGAGGACCATGTTTTTGACAGTGAATGACAAATACTATAATTTTTTAGTGCTTCACTTCATACAAGGTGTCTCACGGTATCTTTTAAGATTATAAAATCCACAGAGATGATATACATACAAAACTAGTTCAAATAATGAGAGAAAGGTTATTTGTTCATCTTCGTGGTTTACCACAAATTGTTAAGGGTTGGAACAGACCAGAAGATGCTGATTCACTGCCAAGTCAGTTTGCTCAGTCCCTTACGAAGGTAATAAATTATAAAATTGTCTTTATTTGTGCACCAGTATAGTTATTCTTGTGTTGCTCTTTTACACTGTTTTATGGAGTTTTTGTCATTGTACTGTAGTGTAATGTGAATGCCTTCCATTGGCCTAATCTAAATATACTTACAAATTGAAAAACTGACTAAATTAATAGTTGTCAACTTTTTTCTAAATGATCCAATGATAAATAATATGCTAGCTAAGAAGCACAAACACTTTTGTGGAAAAGGCATGTTGTGTCAGACACTTGTGTCGGATATCAACATTCTCTAGACACTCTAAAAGCATGTCCTACACTTGTTCAATGTGTCTTAATTAAATTAAAGTCTATCTGGGATATTTTAGTCAAAATGGTATGTTGGAGAGAACTTCCTTCGTAGGCAACTCTATAGTTAAATTTGTATCGACTTTAATTAGAATGGTATGTTGGAGAGAACTTCCTTCGTAGGCAACTCTATAGTTAAATTTGCATCGACTTTAATTGGATATGATTTTATTCATTTGCAGGAAGTTGGCTATTTTCAACGTGTCTTATCCAAAACTCTGCACGAATTTGATGTTCACGTAATTTTGAGGTGTGGCCTAACATTTTAATTTTAACACACTGTAGACTTGGAGATTTCAAATGAGCTGTTTATTTATGTATTTGTTTTGGAAAGCAAAGCTGTTTCTTTACAATTTTAGATCATTGCATCAAATTGAATGTAGAAAAAGACTATTGACACTTGTTGACTTGTAAATAGCAATCAATTGGCCTGGTAACTTTAATATAAAAAGAAGAAAGCAAAAGGGAAGCTGGGAGGCTTCCCTTAGTAGTTTTGTTACTGTGATTGTAATTTTTGGCATAGTTGTAATTGCCTATTTTTCTGGTTCTAGGCAATGAGAAACTGGTGTCGTTCAAGTTTGTCTTCTGTATTTTTTCTTTTCCCACGGTCGTGTGGTATACTACTGTTATTAAGAACTTCATTCTATTTCATGAGTGCAATTGTTTTGATTACCATCTATGGAATGTGTAGCGAAGTTAGGGACTGAGTGTAGACATTACTAAAAAATACAAAAAAAATTCTTTGATAAAAATACAAAAAAAAAAATTCTTTGATGTGTTAACTTGATCTATGTGCAATTGTTTTCGTTATTTAAGATTGATTATCACAACAGCTGAGGAGGTTAGAGCGGATGTGGTTTTATAGAATTAAGAGGGGTAGCTTAAGTGTAGGAGTGCATTTGGGGTATTTTGAGATTATCGAGTACCTACTAGACTAAAAAGGAAGTTTTATAGAACGGCTATTGGATCAACAATGTTGTATGGGACGGAATGTTGGGTAATTAAGAAACATGTATATAAGACGAATGTTGCTGAGATGAGGATGTTTAGGCAGATGTGTGACAAAACTAAAAAGACAAATTTAAGAATGAGTATATTCGAGAATGGGTAGAAGTAGTATCAATAGAAGATAAGTTGAGGGAGAACATATTGAGATGGTTTAGTCATATACAACGGAGATCAATAGAAGCAATAGTGAAGAGATGCGATACAGTGGCAGTAGATAAAAGTGTTAGAAGAAAGGACAAACCTAGATTAACGTAGGGCTAGTGTAGTAAATGGAGATATGAATCTCCTTAATTTGACTAACAATATGGTCTTAGATACAGTTGAATGGAGAATAAAGATTTGTGTAATGGGATTTTTATTGATAAATCCATCTTAGAGTTGTTATAACCCATTAAGTCCACAAAGGAATATTATAACCTGATTAGTCCCGTATACTTTTCTTTTTATTCCATAAAGTCTATTTTTCTAACTTTATATTTTTACCTGGACTATTATGCCCTTATATATATATATATATATACTGTGTTAATACATAACACGTTCCTTGCGATTTCGTGGATTCAGTTTTGGCAGTTTCTATCATTCTAATTCAAATAGATACGTTTTTATCTTGTATGCTCGTTCTGAGCCTTTGATGTGCTAGGGTTTCATTGTCGCTGTTGTAGTCTGGTTCGGTGATTTTCAAGTGAAGACGACGAATTTGAAGGTGTTCGGTTCTCAGATTTTTTGGAGTATAACTACTTCAAAGCAATTTTTTCGAGTTTCTGGACGATTGTAGGATTGCATGATTAAGGTTAGTATCATTTTGGTTATGAATACATGTTCACTTTATGTTTTGATTTGTATGATGGATCAGATGCTCTGTTTTTTGATTGATATGGATCGGATGCTCTGTTTTTTCAATTATATGCATCATACGTGATATAATTTAGAGTATATGAATCAATGTGAATGTTTACATCGTGGTCCTGTGGATGGGAGGTCATCAGATTAGTGATGAATGTGGATCTTCTATAATTCAGAGTATGTGGAACAATGTGAACGTTTACATCGTGTTAGTATTATGTGAAGAATGTGGATGTTTTGCATTATACTTTGATGTTTGCTTAATGAGGCTCTGTGTGAGTGATATAATTCAGAGTTTATGGATCAATGTGAATGTTTACATCGTGGTCCTGTGGAAGGGAGGTCATCAGATTAGTGATGAATGTGGATCGTCTATAATTCAGAGTATGTGGAACAATGTGAATGTTTACATCGCGTTAGTATTATGTGAAGAATGTGGATGCTTGCATTTTACTTTGATGTTTGCTTAATGAGGCTCTGTGTGGGTGATATAATTCAGAGTATATGTGTCAATGTAAATGTTTACATCGTGTTAATATTATGTGAAGAATGTAGATGTTCTCACTTTACTTTGATGTTTGCTTAATGAGGCTCTGTGTGGGTGATATAATTCAGAGGATATGTATCAATGTGAATATTCACATCTTGTTAATGTGAATTATGGATTTAACACTTGAACTGTACACATAGTCATCTAATTTTTGCACAATGTGAATTTTCATATTGGTTTGGATTATTGTTGATTGTTGTATTGTTATGTTTTTACAGGAGATGGATACCTTTATGATGTTGGTGTGTACATATGGTTGCAGTACACCTGTAATAAATGTTGCCCGCGCTTATGTTATTCGCGTTTGGTGGATTGTTTGTGTGAAAAATGGGGGGAGTTGTCTGCTGGTTCTATTTCATTGTTCTGTCGGTTACCTGGGATTAATAGGTGTGATTTAGACAATGAGGAAGAATTTCAGAACATGTTACTGCTTGCTAAATCAATGGGGGTACAACATGTAGAAGTTGTGGTTGAGTTGAAAAGTGATATTGGTCAGTCAAGTAGCTCGGGATCGCTGCGTGTAGAGGTTGAGGAAGATATTGATGCACTACGGAGATTTTGCCACCATAAGGAGAAGGTGTTATTGTCAACCCCTTGGGCAAATGGTATTACGCATGTGGGACAACAGTTTGATGGAGGTGCACAA